TGAATTTAAAACGGAATGGCAAAATTTTTACATAGATGTATAATACATTATTCAAAGATACTTTTTTTTATAAACATCGCGTTGTTTGAAGCTTTTCGAGAGATAAAAAACACACGAAAAGGTTAAAAAATATACACAACGTACGTTAAAGCGCGTCTTTATCGTTACACGCAGCTTTAGAAATATTTAACCGTTCGACAATCGTTTTTCACACGAATACAGTCTAATCTCGCAGTGGCGGTAGTCGCGCGGAAAACAAATCTCATCGTCACATGACGTTCCTCTTTTGCAAAATTTTACAGAAATGCGTTACGCGATCGAATTATTGTCAAAAACATTCTGAATTTCTTCCGCGTATAAAAACACGATTAATCGATGGAATCACGATGATGCAGCTACATTCAGATAGAATTCTTACATCTGATAGATTAATGTAACATTAATTCGAGGAAAGTGTGATTCATAGAAAAACTTATAAAATTGTGAAGACAAATGCGATTTCTAAGGTCGTATATAAAAAGCTGTATAAATACGTACAAATAAGTGTATTATTAAAGCTTTGGAGGAAGCATATTATCGTTTTGTTCGTATTTCTTGACGCTTTGGATCGAAATAAGTACTTACTAGAAACTAGTCGTACATTATGTAGAGTATAAACACTAGTAGGAGCGATTTACCTTAGAATATACTTAATTAAAAAAGATTCTATGAAATAAATAGGATACATTCTCTATTGGTAGTATTCGTATTGATGAAAATAAGAATATTATAAATGAAAACAGCACTCTTCTTACACGGTTAACATCTTGCTGTATATACAAGGTGTCATGTAATTGGTAGTACAGCTGGATAGGAGGTGATTCTACGTGAAAAAATAAGTCGACAAAATACAATAAAATTTGTTCACTTGAGACTTTGTTTTCGAGAAACTCAAGTTGGAAAATTAATTTGAAGTCTCATTAAATTATTGCATGCGTATCTAGCAGATTTTCAAAGTCGAGTTTCTCGAGAACGAAGACTCAAATAAAAAAATTTCATTCTATATTTTCGACTTCTTCCTTCACGTAAAATCACTCCCTACTCGGTTGTACCATCAGTTACATGTCACTCTGTATATAGCTCACGAAAGTTTTTGTATAACCCATAAAAGGGTCATTCTGATTAATATGAGCAATAACTTCGTGTAATATCATGTTTATTTATTAACATATGAAGTGATATTGACTATTTAATAACAAAATGTATTAGTCTATAGGAATATTTTAACAAACAAGAAAAAACGAATTATGCATCTCACAAAGGTGACCTTTATGGGGTGTACGAAGACTTTTGTGAATGACTGTGTATAGTAGTTACAGCAATTCCCATCGCTCTGGACAGTTTTAACGAAATGCTAGTTGGCCACTTTTTATGTAAACAAAATCGAACGAGAAAATAGAGTAAACTTTCCATTCATAGTACCGGTAATAGTTAACTACAAGTTGTAAATTGTAAAGAACTACTTGAAAAATCAATAAAGTTAAAAGCACTATAAAAATGACAAGGCGGTTTTTACATTTTTAACTTCTTTCTACAAGTTCAGCAGTAACCTTCAGCCTTTGCACTTTTAACGCGACAGTGACAAATCATTATCTTGTAAACAGGTAAAACTGAATATTCATCAGATCTAATAACAATGCACAACATACATGATATATTCTTTCTTAAATTATATTACATCCGGAACATTACAATCGGAACGAATTCAGTTCATCGATTAGGGTTACATTCTCGACCACGAACTTCAACCGATCACTCTATCCCTTGAATGAGAATAATTTCTCCGTAGTCTTAAGCGATTCATATTTCATCCCACAGTACCTGAGATGAAGATAATCTGTTAAAATCTACAGAATTCACCAAGAATTATTCAATTTTTTCATCCATATGTATAAATTTCCAGCCTAATTTACGTGAATAGAGTTTCATTCCTTCAATCTGTTCGTCGCTTAATGCATCGAGTGTCCCTCTTTTCCGTTTTATATCACACGTGGTACTATAAATTTAATCATCCAAGTTATCAACTACTCTTATAACGCATTTACTCGCTTCCTTTACTGAAGCAAATGGATGCATTTAACCTGACAATACTCAGACCTGGTGATATGCGTTCGAGGCTATTCAATTCACCAAAGATTATTTCAGTGCGATAGTAAGTTGTTATTAGACGTTACTATAGCACCAAATATTCCAGCGCCATCACTCGATTATTAGTGCATGATCTCTTGTGTATGAAGGAGTCTATGATACAACAATGAGTTAATTACTGTAACCAAAATAATAAGCAAATATCAAAAATAACTTGACAACAATGCTAATGGGAAATGTTGTAACGTTAATATGTTGACCAACAACGTCATCCAATTTTTATGGTAAAGAATATTTACAATGTACATAATTAGTATACATATAATTAGCAATTTTTTCTTTAGTATGGCGTTTCCCAAACACAAAAACAAATCTTGTATAACTTTAGTTTGCTAAATAAAATTTCTTTTCGAAAAAATCAAATTTGAAAATTAAAAACATGTGCCTGAATACGACTTTGTTACGATATCGTTCTATTAATACATGTTCCTATTTATGTCATGTTTGTTATCATTGATACCGATATCATATTATTCGTTTTCCATGACAGATTGATATAAATTCACATCGCAAGCATAAATTTCAGAGAAGACCTGTAATTTAGTAATTTAGTATGTGTAAATGAACAATAAATATCACTATCTTTATATTTATCGTGTAAAATAAATAATGTATTTCCTTTTTCCATCCAGACTTATACTTTAGTCTGATACTGTAATCATCTTTATAATTTTACGGTAACATAGTACTGCATATTTTACATAATTATTTTGTACAAATTGTTAGTAGACAAAGAGACCGATAGAAAACACGGACCATATGTCGCCCTAGTAGAAGTAGAAACAGTAAATCATATACAGACACATTAACCACTCATATGTACCTTTCGAATTGGAACTTATCGGACAAAAAGTTCTGTAGAATAAAACTTTTTTCTACATTTTTGATTTACTAATCATCACCGTTTTATGGTAATACGAATAACACCGTACCCTACATTCATAATATCCTTCACAACATAGGTATGTATATGTGAAAGAACTGTTTTTATCTGAAGTTAGAAATGAATTTCGAATTTTCAAAGGTCAGTCTATATGAACATAGTCGATGCTGCTTTTAAAAAATGAATTTTTTGAAGAATTAATTTTTTTAAAATAGTATTCGAAGAAACTACCTTTTTATACGTTTTGTTACATTTCAGTTGTTCTCGTGTTTAATTACTGTTACTGTCATAATTATGTTTTAATTATTATAATTATGCAACAGTCATGTTTTATTATCCAGTACTCACTGCAATCAATATCATTTTCATCGTCATATAAGCCTTGAGTGGTGTTCATAAGCAATTAAATAATACCAATTATGGTAATTAATTCATCAGGAGCATTAAATTACGACACATAGGTTATAATATTTCGAAATAAACATAAAATAGAATGTATGATTATATGAATTCATGTAATTGATTGCAAATGCTATTTAAAGTCTTAAGGTTGGCCTACATGCCACGAAAGACCTCCATAATGAACCTGAGCTACTTCTTAGTCTGTAGAACACAAAATGTGGATGATCAAATACTTGTGTTGATCGGTCACTCGAATAATTTCTTTAAAAGAAAAGGAAACAGGGGACAGCAAACTTGTATCCATCTAACACATAGCCCTTTTAATGAATAACTGAACTAGAAAATTTTAAGAAATGAGTCTACTGTAAATTGGAACAATATTACTAAAAGTATATTACGAATCTTCACTTTTCACATGCAACAAATTATTTACATTGTATTATTATTAATAGTACTAATCATAAATCACTTCTGTATTATTAAAAAATGAATCGAATTAATTAAGATGATAATGCATCATAAAACTTGATTTATAGGCACATGTATATGTGTATTCAAATAAATCTACCATGTAGAAGCACTTGTTTCCTGGATGATTTCTAATAGCAATAATACATTAATTTAAATTAGAATATGTCCATACATGAAGAGATACACGTGCTCACGGTAATGGCGCCGGCTGATCAATCTGATATATAAAGATGAAAATAACGCGCAACGTTTAACCTCTCATACTTTCATTAAAGTGACTTTTAATCGTCTGCAAGACCACCTATGTTATCAGAAACCCATTAACCCTGCGTACTAACGCCAACTAATTTATTCGTAATTGGAAGAACGGAAACACCTGAAAGCCTCTAAAAATAAAAATTCAAATTTCCACTTGATGATTTGTCATACTCCCTTACGTTTGCTTTTTCCAATCATTCGAGAAAGAAATCTGCCATTAAAGATGAAAAAACACTTCACAAAATCTCCTTTCTCCGTTCTTACCTCGAACATATGAATATTCAAATTTCTAATGAAATTCACAAACGAGTCGTCTACTTTCTACTATTCAAATCATCCGATTATTATGTCGATCTATTTTTAGAACATTGTAATTGCTTTAGTCAAAATTTAATTATGAAAATTTATGGAGACTTTTCGAAGTGAAATTTCTGAATGTTAGAGATAAAGCAGTTTGGGGACACGGTCGAACGTAGCATGAACACGAGTCTGCCCTTTCTTAGCAGTCTTGGGAGACGACATTCGGTGCCTACGCGACACTAGAATTACCGAGGATGAACGTATATCTAATTCCATTGGATCGATAATCATAACAAACTTTTGAAAATACAAATGTGTAAATTAACTAACTTCTTCACTTCCATATTGCAACAAATGTTGTAAAAGATTTGATAAACTGCATTTTTGATATATTTTAATTATCGTTATAAAAATGTATTAACCAGTCATTTTGACTACTTTGGTAGGTCTAGTGTTAATAATAATCCACCGCGAATCCGCGCTACAAAGACATCAAGTACTACGCGCTCGTCTCTTGCGGTTCGGTGCAATCCGTCGGCTTCACCTCGAGCCACCAGTCATTTGGGTAATGATACTTCTGCAGCTCGATACCCTCCCTGGGTACAGGTATTAATCGACCGCCGAACTGTTTCGCCGGTAAAGGAGGAATCACGAGCTGCGGCGGGAAGCACTGCAGGCTTGGGGAGAACTCGCAATCTGGGGGCAGCACCCTTCTTGTCCAGCCGACTCTCCTGACCATTTGCGTCTGCAAACGAACACAATTGTCTCTGACAATTTGTAGAAAATTTTCAATTTTCCAGATAGTGCGAGTACAACAATTAAATGTCCGTGAAAAGTTTTTCGAATAATATTGGGTTCTTCGGAATGTTCGCAGCATTTTTGAGGGCAGAGTTACAATCTATATTGTTCAATTTATTTTACGTTCTTGTTTATTACTATTTTTTTAGAATTTCTTTCCATTTTTCAATTAATTTCATTATATCCGTTATCTACAATTTTAATTGTATTTGAAGAAACTCTTCAACCTGCTTCTAGATGGATTTCGTCGTTGAAATTTTGTTCTGATACAGAATATTCCAGCGCTCTAAAGGAATAATCATCTGGTGGGGCAAAGTTTAATTAATTGGGTAGATGCTAGAAATCTTCCAGTCGAAGTAGTGGAATTTTTTTTACAAGTTTGACAGAACGTAATGAAAATAGATTTTGTGCTTGTTCGTACGTTCACACGACGAGTAACTTATGCAGCAAGTACATTCCATCCACACCTAAAAAATAGTCTCTGTTCACCAGATCAGACGACTTTTCCTTTGCCCAGTAAAAAGGTAACAAAGACACTGCTCGAAGCTCTAAGAATTTCCTGAACAACCCAATTGCCGTTTTACAGGAAAAACATTATTATACGATTCATTACAGGAAAAACATTATTACTCTTCCACACCGAATAACTTGTATTTGAAATTGTTTTCTTCTGTTCCGATAATTTTAGTGATAGTCAAGGTGGTCAGTTTTAATAGTCAGTCCTTTATATAGGGCCTCTTAGGTCGAGTAGTACAACCAAGCAGGAAGTGATTCTATAAGAAAATTTTGTCATTTGAGGTTTCGTTTTCGAGAAAATTCGGTCTGAACAGTCATCTAAAATGCGCGCTTTCGTGCTGGCAATAAGTAGAAACGGCCTGAAATGACCATACGCGTTAACCAACTCTTACAATTAGTCTATTGCCCGTGTAACCAACAAATTTTCAAGTTCAATTATCTCGAAAACGAAGCATCACCGGAAGAAATTTTATTCTTTTCTTTCGACTTATCTTTTCTTGTGGAATCAATAGTAATAATCACTGTGGAGTTTATGCATTTATAGCACATACAACTATCTAAATTTCAGCACAATAATAAAAGCTCAATAGATTGTATAAATAAATTTTTACATGATCGGAACTTGATAAAACCCTCAATACGTAAAAACTTTATCTGTTTAAAGACAAAGTAACAGAATATGCCAGATATACCAGAACACACATGGTCAATCTTTGAATATTACAATTTACTAAAAGTAGAGTACCTCTAAAGTACTCATGAATTCTGGAAGTATTTCGGGATATACGATTAATTTTTCATCCTGAAAGTAAATAGACTGACCGATCGACATTTTGTTTATTTCAACAAAAGCTTTCTATAATAAAGTTTCTTATAATAATTTCTGTTCCTCTAAATTATTGCAGCTTGACCACAATTATTTCTACTATAAATATAAACGAAATAATGCAAGTTTTATTAATATTCTAACTATCGTTTCCAATCATTTTCGTATTCCCGAGTTTTGCATGTATACTTATCTTCTTACAAAACGCTCACAAAAATGTTACACAGTAATAAAGTGACGTGCCTGACGTTAGTAAAAGAAAGTCCGCCGGTTTATTGCCAAAAGCAATGCCAGCGAGGAACTTTCGGTTGTCCCAGTTATGCTACACGTAAAAGCACACGTCATAAATCGCGGAAAATATTCACAGTCGGACGCCGCATTTATAACTCGTAACTGATGGTACTGCAGCGTTAAATTTGCGAATGCGATAGGTCTAGGAAGCATTACAAGTTTCACGTTATGTGCAGAGACAAGTCGTTTGCATAAAACGAGCTGACAGGAGGGATTACGACTGCAAGAGTTCGCGTATTTAAGGAACGGATCATCTGGTTGCGTTTTACAAACATCCTATATGTATAAGATACATGTAAATATATAACAATGAAACTTATAGATTACGTTCTCTCAAATGAATTACTTATGGTTCTTGGTACGAACCCTTTCTGCATAATTCATTAGATTTCAGAAAAAAATGTAACCCTTAACTACAGACCACTCGTCCCAGAGACGAATTTAAATTTTTCTTTTGCTATCACCATAATGGAGAATTTGTTAAGATCTAGGCGTTTAAGTAACTTCAATTGACGGTAAATGGCAAATTATATCGAAAACGATAACGAAAAATAACATTCAGTTGATTATTAAAAGTGTTGGGGTAGTTAAGGGTTAATAACCAACATTTTGAATGTAATTATCTATGATTGAGAGTTAAGATATACCACTGTTCATCCTTTCTGGCTAATTTCGTTTTTGAACAGATTGCTTTTTATTAATTATAAAGTATTGTCCTTAAGTAAAATGTTCGAATTAATTAAGAATTCACTATTGTTTCATAATCTCATGATGTACGTTGTTGTTAAAAATTTGACTTTACTTATTGAACTAATAGTATTTTTTAATTAAATAAATACGAATACATTATCATCTGTTACACAGAGTGAACAATTGCATTATTAGACACAGATATTAATAACGTAATTATCTTTTGTTCCTATATTGGTGGTGTCTCAGGTCGGGTAGTATAACGGGGCAGGATGTGATTCTATAAGAAAGCATAAGTCGAAAAAAGAGAATAAAATGTTCTGAGTCAATCGAACTTCAAAATTTATTGGAAACACGGGCAACAGAACAGAACTTGGCCAACGCTTCTGTTCATTGCATGCCATTTCTACTTATTGCCAGCACGAATCCACGCGTTTTAGATGAATGTTCAAACTCAATTTTCTCGAAAATGAAACCCTCAAACCAGAAAAATATATTCTTCTTTTTCGACTTACTATTGCATGTAGAATCACCACTCGGTCGTTCGTACCTCGATTTTGGTAACCATCGATATATGAGCCGCTTCTTTGAAAATGATATAAATACATTTTCGGTTAACAAAAACACTGTTTTGCATAGTGCATATTTATAAAAATCTTATAAAATTTAACAATACTTTTAGATAGGGTAAAACGTAAAACGTTAAATATCTCGAAATAAAGAAAAATGAACTTATATCATTTTCAGAAAATAAAAAATGACTCATATAATGTCATGACAAAAATCCGTAAAAAAACAAACAGAAAAATCTTACCATTCCACAATGCCACATAACATTCTAGTATAAATGTCAAGGCTTTATAATTCTAGACTAGAGAAAATTACTTTACAGTCGGTATACCAACGTTAATAGTGAACTTACCACTGCGTCCTCCTCGAAGACAACAACTTCCACTTTAGGAGCATCTTCACCGACTTCGTGCTCCTGTATACGATACACGCCGGCTGCGTGCAGATACGTAGCGCTCAATCCAACTTCACGGAACGCTTTCGTGATCAGGACATCATCACGTAACGTGTCCACCAGGCACAGTTCGACCTTACGTGCCCAAGGTAGCGCACGACCGATGCGAACTTGACCCCAAAGCCCGCCCAGGCACAGAAAGTGCACGATCCCCAGTTTGGCCAGCACCAGGTGAGCCCTACAAAGACCGGTACATAACAGTTAAACGTAGCCCGGTGAAACTTAACGGCGGGAGAAATTGTATATTAGTGAAAGTTCCATATCTTCTGTCCATCAAACTGTCTTAACCCATTAGGACTCAACGTTGCGTTAACGGAACATTTCACTCGCAATTTTTTTCTTCAGTGAATTAACATTATTGAAATCTGTTTTTCATGCTGCAGTTAAAAAGGAGGATTATTTTAATATTTTTGTCCCCACTCAAAATCTTCTTCCACGTAGATTCTGCGATATTTTGAAAGTTGAAGAAATTATAAGTATTTATAGCACTATGATAAACAAATTATTTCTTCAATTATGGAAATGTTTTAGTGTATCCTTCTCATTGAGTGGGCTTCTATAATATAGTGACTAGTATTACAATGCATTTTTTATATTCCAACAAAATAAGATACATGTTATTTTATTTACAGTTTTCAATACAAAATGTACTGAATCAGACATTTCTTTTGGTAGTATTTATATTCTGTTTTATAAACTTTTATAAGTAATAAGTAATTATACGTGTGACATCAACGTATGTCACTGCTTGGGATTTAATGGGTTAAACAAATAGTCGCTGGTTAATTAAATAGCACTTTCTGCGATGAATGCTTGACCTGATTCTACTGTTTAGAGGATTATAAATCGTTAACGGGATCAAGGAGCGAGAATAGTGGACAGATAAATTAAGAGGATTGGTAGCGGTGACGATTCGAAACGTAAGGGAACGAAACCTATGAAAGTGGCATGGAACAAGTGATGAAACTTGTAAGGTAACGGCCCCAACTTCGGGTCGCAGATTTTAATGAAACTTTTAGGACTTGTAGTAGACTTCCTCATCTTTAGAAATCATCTCTGTATAGGGTCAGCTATTCAAAGGCTTCTGAATCATTTGCCTTTAAAGTTTCAAACAAGTCGCAAAATAATGGAACTAATCGTGGTTTTTTATGTTAATTAAGGTTTGCTGAACACGATGCTGGTTTTAGTTTCTCCCCTACACATAACAAAGTCTAGCTTTTTAGATATAAAGTTAGCGCTGTTCAGATTGATTTATTTCTTGAATTATTCAACTGGTACACTTTTACTGACTTCATTTCTATCGTATTTAACAAATAATAATAAAAATAATAATAATTTTAAGTAAATTACAAATGTAGGATGTAAATAATTTCATAAATATTTTGTGTAGTTATACACAATGTACGTACATGGTGACATGCATGTGACTGGTGATACAACAAGGTAGGAGATGAATCTACGTGAAAAAAATAAGCGAAAAATGTGGAATAAAATTTTTTCATTTGAGACTTCGTTTTCAAGGGAATCAATTTCAGAAATTAAACTGAAACGCGTGTATTCGTCATGGTAGTAAGTAGAAACAGAATGCAGTGAACAGACACACTAGCTAAATCTAATTGCACGTGTATCCAGCAGATTGTAAAGAGTCGATTTTCTCGAAAACGAAGCTTTAAGTGAAAGAATGTTACTTTTTTTCGATGTGCTTTTGCATGTAGAATTACCCCCTACTCGGTTGTATCACCATTTACATGACACCCTGTACATATGTACGTATTAACAACGTGAAATGTTTCTAAACTTTCATTTTATATTCTCCAAAATTACTTTAAAATCAATTTCATCTACCAATAAATGAAATTCGGTATCATCCTATAATGTGAGCTTATGGTAATTTAGTGGCAAAAGAATGCATGCCCAGTCGTACTGAAAATACAGGTAACACCTACATTACAGTACATCCTGAAAATCTGCTCTTAAATTCCTTTAATAAGCTAAATAATTTATAATTATCGTATACTTTTCTCGACAAATGTCAATACCATCTTGTTTAGCTTTCGTTACAGTTGGAAACCTAATAATTAGTGTGAGGGTTTCGGGCTGCACATAAAAGCTTGTAGGGCCGCAGGTTGAGTATGGCTGATTTGATACATTCCTGTGTAAACAGCCAATCGCATGTAACATTCAAACTCCCGCCAAGATTTAGAAATCCGAATGCATATACTATTCCAGATAAATCATAAACCAAAAGTCTACAAAACGGGGAATAGTTATCGGCTACCAGAGTTCCGATGGCAGCTTATCTACAAACAATAAATAGAACTGAACCATGTGGACCTGTAAGCAAGCTCGTGCAGTTTCTCCGTGAACTCCTCGGGCACGCTGCACGGTTGCCTGGGCGCCTCTTGCCGACTGAGGCTGTACCAGAACAGCACTACCATCAGGAAGAACGCCGCCAACGCTCGCAGCGGTGTGATGCGAAATCGTCTGCGCGGCCAAAAGCTCATGCTGGTAACCTTCAACACAAAGGAGCATCGCCGTGAAACCGAAAGGGTCCCCGTGGCATCCCGTTCCCGTGGAAGCCGGGCAATCGAGCCGAATGCAACGGTCCCGTAGCAGCGAAATGAACGCACAAGTTCATCCACGAGCGATCGAAAGCGTAGCTCTCGAGCGAACGAAGGCACAAGAATCCTCACACGCGGTGTCCCACATCGTGACGAGAGTTCTCATTGCGTAATCGCGAGGCACCCGGCCAGGAAACACACCGAGACGACGTGTGGCCGTGCGACGATGCACGATACCGCGACGCGCGATGGACACATTGCCCACGTGTCCAACCAGGTCTGTCCAAATTTACCTTCTCGCGACACCGCTTTTTTTCTCACCCTCGTCGCGCACCACCGTCACCGAGTATTTCCGATTGCACACCGTCGTCCCTAACCCCCCACTACGCCGTGTTTGGTTCCCCCTTATAACCGGCAACATTGCAAACCTGATCACAGACAAACACATAGAGTAGACTTAACATCCAATGTAATTTACTGTCACAACATTCGGGGGCTCTAGAGCCCCGTTATCATTTTAATATCAATTCCCGACGTTACCGATAAAGAATTCTGAGTTTACCACCGACTAGGTATAGAATAGACCTATCATCCAATGCTTTTTTCTGTCCCACGTTCATAGGGCTACGTAGCCCTGTTACCATTTTAGTGTCAATATTCGACGTTACCGATAAAGCATGAATTCTGAGTATTATTAGCACAAATGAAGTGATATACATTCTGTGTAAAAAGTACCCGGAATTATTAAATAAAATACAAAAAATTGATTTATTCATTAAAATTTATTTTGTCGCCTTCAAAGTAGGCCCCATCGAGTGCAATACAACTATGCCAGCGCTTGACCCAATCCTTCATACATTGTTCGTAGGCTGATTGAGGTGTGGCCTTCAGCTCCTTCAGCGAATTTTCTTTTATGGCCTCAATTGACTCAAAACGCCTTTCTCGAAGTGGTAATTTTAGCTTCGGAAACAGGAAAAAGTCACACGGTGCCATATCAGGCGAGTACGGTACTTGGTCGATAACGTTCGTTGAGTTTTTAGCCAAAAACTCTTGCACAACGATCGCTTTGTGCGATGATGCATTATCGTGGTGCAAAATCCATGAATTGTCCTTCCACAAATCTGACCGTTTTCGGCGGATATTCTCGCTCAAACGTCTCATGACGCCTAAATAGTATTCCTTATTCACCGTTTGTCCCTTTGGAAGAAATTCGGAGTGCACCAACCCACGATAATCAAAGAAAACTGTGAGCATGATCTTGATTTTCGAGCGACTTTGACGCGGTTTTTTGGGTTTTTATACTGGGAATTTATGCTGGAGAGCGAAATCTTTAAAAGGAACATGTCGCTTAAACAAATTAGTTAAATATGATATTTATTTGGGGAATATGAACATCATAAATAAACGAGAGCGGTAGAGCGAGTTGCGGTATCGGTGCTCTCCGTCGGTGTCGACGCGTACCGACCGAGGCCGAAGATGGTCGGCGCGGGCGAAAGGGAGAGAGCGAGAGCGATAGAACGAGCCGCAGTATCGGTCCTCTCCGTCGGTGTCGATGCGTTCTGAGGAATTTCAGTGGTCTATGAGGGGAGGTGTGCGATCGAGAGAGTACGGTAGAGCTTGCCGCGGTATCGGTGCTCTCCGTCGGTCCAACGCACTAGTGACGTTGCGTCACACAGTTTATTGACCTAGCCGTGTACGCCGTGTACCATAGC